GAGAGAGAGAGAGAGAGAGAGAGAGAGAGAGAGAGAGAGGGAGAGGGAGAGGGAGAGTGAGAGTATTTTTCAGAGCATTAGCATTTTGCTCTTTCATTTTCAGTTTTTTCCCTATTTCATTTGCATTCTTACCCTCTTCTTTCTTTCACCTTCCCAATTGTCATACTGCATGGTGAATAAACCAATTTAGTAGTGATTGAATACAGTAGGATATACATGGAAAATTACCTAAAGAAATAAGTTGAAGATCAAATGTATACTACAGAAAATAACAGAAAATTAAACTAAGGAATTATACAATACTTTGAAGTGATAAAGCAAGGGGCTGTTTAGAGAAGAAGCAAATGTACTTGGTTCCATTCAGCTTTCCCTCAATTTTGACCAGTCTCTTAGTCCCTGCTGCTGAAAAACACACTCACAGCATGATGCTACCACCACTATGCTTCACTGTTGGGATCATATTGGGCAGGTGATGAATGGTGCCTCGTTTTCTCCAGATATGTTTTAAATTGAGGCCAAACAGTTCAATCTTGATTTCATCAGACTAGAGAATCTTCTCCTTGCAGTCTGAGAATCCTTCTGGTTTTTTGCAAACTCCAAGCAGGTTTGTATGTGTTTTGCACTGAGGAAAGACTTCCATCTAGCCACTTTGCATGAAGCCTAGATTGGTGAAGCAACATGGTTGTCTTTGTGGAACTCTGTCCCATCTCCACACAAGATCTCTGGAGCACAATCAAGTTTATCTGATTGCAATTTTCACCTGATTACTCAGTTTGAACAGATGACCAGCTCGTGAAAGAATCGTGGTTGTGCCAAACTTCTTCCATTTGAGAATTACGATGTCCAATGTGTTCTTTGGTATCCAGTGTGCTCTGCAACTTCAGTGAAGCAGAAATTTAATTTAGCCTTCTCCAAATCTGTTCCTTGCAATAATCCTGGTTTTGAACTCTGAAAGGAGTTCTTTTAACCTCATGGCTTTTGCCCTGCTACAGTATGCTTTGTCAACTGTGAAGCTTTCTATAGAGAGGCGTGTGCATTTCCAAATCATGTCCAATCAATTTAATTTACCACAGGTAGACTCCAATCAAGGTGCAGAAACATGTCAGCAGTGGTCAAGATAACTGTGAGGCACCTGAGGCTAAATTTCAAGTTTATTACAATAAGTGAATACTTATGCCAACATAATGTTATGGTTGTTTTTCCCCCCCTTTTTTTATAAATTTATAGACATTTCTAAACATTTGTTCTCACTTTCATTATAGTGTATTAAGTATAGATTAATGATAGAGAAAAAGAATTTTAACAACTATATAATCAGACTGCAGCATAAGAAAATTGACAAAAGTGTAGGGGTCTGAATACTTTCTGAATGCACTGTATAACAAACATGAGATGGTTTGGTCCTCAAAGAGGAAAATCTGTTTGAAATTATCAGTAAATGTGCAAGAGCATAACAATTTATCATTACATGCCTTTAATTCTTTGATAAGCCAAATTAAAAAGAGGAAGGAAGTGTCTCAATTGCATGGCTGCAGCTGCCATCTTGACTTTTTTGACAGCCATCATATATGTGTTCAGCTGCGCACCATAACACCTTGAGATGGGCAGTCATATATATATAGATAGTATAGATAGTTCTTGACATATGGGTCTTCATATGACTGACCTGATTTTATGACTTCCTGTTTTGTAGTAGCCAAGAGCCAATACTGTGATTCTGAAGCAACTGCTATGGTAGTTAAGTGAACACTGCAATCTCTAAGTGAATCAAATATTCACTATGTGGCATTTTTTGCAAAATAAACGCTTCTTTATGGCAGTGACTGCAGGAGATTGCAAATGGGGATTAATATGGGCTAGTTCCAGAAATCTGATCACATTACCATAGAACAGGCAGAGTCAGAACTTCAGAACCAAGTTATAAGTACATTTTCAGGTGGCCCATCTTAAATTCAAAATATCACAAAGTGACTTTTTATAACTTAAGAGCTGTGTGAATTGGCAGCTGATTATACATGATCAAAAGACTGATCCTGAACCCTAAAAGCAGCAAAGAAAATGAAAGATGAAATCTTGTGATATTTTTAACAATAGTTATGGGACTCAGGTTGAGAAAATAAACACATTTGTATCTTGAAGGAATTGTATATTGGGAACTATAGAAACTAACAGATTATAGCACATATTCCTCCAAGTTGAGAACAGAAAACAGTGTCAGACCCTGTACTCCTTTGTTTTCAGAACTCAGGATACAGATTAACAGAGTTGGAATGGACATTGGGTGTCTTCTAGTCCAACCCCTTGTTCAGGTAGGAAATCCTATACATTTTCAGGCAAATGGTTGTCTAATCCATCTTAAAAATATGGATTTTGCCATTATATTAATATGCAATAGTAATTTAACTGAATTTAAGGAAGATGCAGTACATTTAGTATGCTGAGAAAAATAAATAAAGGGAAGAGTTAAACCAAATTACATCTAGTCCTGCACCCCCAAAATTATTTTTTAAAAAATAAAATTCTAATATGCTCCTCTAAGAAAAACTTTGACAGTTCCTTTTTCTAGGATCACCTCCCCCCAGTCATTTGACTCAATATAAAACTTTAAGGAAATTGAATGAATTCCAGGACCCATTTTTGGCACACACAAAAAATTCTCTCTTTCTTATTTGGTTGGTATGGGAATAATCATATAAAATACTTTGATGTGAGTTAAATAATTTATATGTCACATACACTCCTTGTATAGGTGTTCTTGCATAATTATAAGTATAATCTTTATTGTCATTGTACTTAAATACAATGAAATTGGTTGCAATTTAAAAAATGATTTTCTCTGGTTTCCAGAGATTAAATTGTGATTATTAACATTCAAAGTTTTTCAGCAAATGTGCTAATTCCATACACACATTAAAATAGTGAGAGTAATAAATAAAAGACACATGTAACTTTAATTAAAGGATAGGATCATGCTTCAACATTTAGGTATCAGCTTTTCTCAACTTCCATTGGTATTTCCTTAAACATTGTTTCTTGATCCACTGTGTTATTGACACAGGTACAATAGGAGTTTTTACAGATAAGCTTCCTCAGAGCTTCTTTGACATCTTTATTCCTCAGACTGTAAATCATGGGGTTCATCATGGGGGTAATCACAGTGTATAGCAAAGAGAAGAGTTTATTGAGAACCGGAGACTGTTTGGCTGAAGGGGCTGCATAAATGGTACCTAGAGTACCATAAAATAATGTCACTACAATGAGATGAGAAGAACATGTTGAGAATGCTTTCTGTTTCCCCTGGGCAGAGGGGATTTTAAGAATAGTAGAAATAATATTGACATAAGAAGCTACTGTGAGAAGAAAGGGGCCTATAGTTACCATTGATGCTAAAATGAAGGTTGTTATCTCTGCAACATAAGTGTCAGAACAGGAAAGCTTTGTGACAGGAGCTAAATCACAGAAGAAATGATCAATTTCATTGGAGGCACAAAATGGCAAACTGAAAGTGAGTACAATGGGGGCTATAGAAGTCAGGAATCCGCTTATCCAGGAACCAGCTGCCATCTGAAAACAGATTTTGATGTTCATGATAGTTGTATAACGAAGCGGATTGCAGATTGCTAAGTAACGGTCATATGACATCACTGCCAAAAGGTAACATTCAATGACTGCCATAGACCCAAAGAAATAAAATTGAGCAACGCAAGCAGAGAAGGAGATAGCTTCATGCATTGTTAAGAGTGTTCTCAGCATCTTTGGTATAATAGAAGTTGTGTACCAGATTTCAAGGAAGGAGAAATTTCCTAGAAAAAAATACATGGGAGTGTGGAGGCCTCGATTAGTTGACACAGCGAGCAAAATGAGGATGTTACCAGATAAAGTTATTATGTATATAGCCAAGAATATCATAAAGAGGATGATCTGTAGACCATGAAGATTCCCAAATCCTAGGAGTATAAATTCCGTGATGGAAGTTTCATTCCTCTGTCGCTCAGTAAACATCTAATGTAAATATATATATTAAAAATCAATAAAGAATTAAATCAGGTGAGGCTGGAACAAAATGTCAACTGAAGCAATTTAATAAGTAATTAACCATGAAAACAAACAAATAAATTCAGCAATTAAAGTCAGACTATTCCAAGATGTTGTTCACAAAACCTAGCTAGGCAGCCAATTTAGATCACTCAGACCATCCTAGAGAGGGAGAGCTATTTTCAAGGCCACATTAGAAGCATCTGGTAGGTCCATACTGCAATAGATTCTAGTTGTGCAGATTATATGGAGTTGAATAGGACACAATCTGACTATATTGTATTGTTTCTTCTGAAAGGTGTTTGAACTTGTTGGTCCTGGGGAAGCAAACAAAGTCCTTGAAATTGTGGAGAGTGAGAGTGAGAGTGAGAGTGAGAGGGAGAGGGAGAGGGAGAGGGAGAGGGAGGGAGGGAGGGAGGGAGACATTCTGCCAAGATAGCAATCAGGAAGAAAAGGGGGGAGGACTTGAGTGAAAGAAGCTAGAAAGGATCCACCCAAATTATCAGGTGATAAAAAGATATGACAGATTTATATTTTCAAAATTCCCAGATTTTGATATAGCTTTATAATAAAATACAATTATCTCACATTGGTGTGTTTTCTGTCTGTCTACTTGGGAGGCTAACGTAAGTATTAGAAATTTGGAAAGTCAAATCTCCTGCCTTCTCTTTTTAACAATTGATTAGTTAGTGATGGAGAGGATTAGAAAATATTTTCTAAATAATTTCTCTGCCCATTCCTCCTCCCTCCTTTATTTGATCATGACATAGGCAGAAAACCTCTGTCTTCCAAGATAATTCCAAATATTCCATTAAAGGAGAATATTTGTAGCTCAGGGTTGGTGCTTTCTGAATTTGGTTGTTTTCTTGCAGATGTTTCATTACTCAAACTAGGTAACATAATCAGTGCTAATAAAGGGTGGGATTTATATAGGCAAAGAATTTCTAAGATCACCCCAACCAATACTGACAGGGCATGCCACTAGAAAATAAACAGAAAGAAAACCTCACTTATTAGCACAGATGATGTTTCATAATTTGGTTAATGAACTGTCTTTAAGAAAACATAAGTTTTTTGGGATCAATTCAGGGACAGAAATGACACTCACAGCAGTGTATTCTTTTTTCCACTGAAGCTTGTTTCATTATATTGATGAGCAGAGTTCTGTCAGGTCCTATACGGAGTGGCTTTTCAAAACTTTACTCTCTCCCAGTCCTATTTAATCTATCTGAAACTGCTGGGTTAGGCATGAGATTAAGTATTATCAGCCCATTGATGATCTTCAGATTATCATCTAAGTGATGCCATCAAGATTCTGTCTCAATACCTAAATAATTGTGGGAGTCTGGGTGGAGATGAACACATTTCAGTAAAGTCTAATAAGGATGAATGGTTATGAGTTTTAAGTTCCCCTGAGGCTGATGATTTTCTACCCTTAGATCTTAATGGAATGGCACTCCCTTGGAGCATGAACTGATACATAATTTGGGGTCCTATTGGATGAACAGCTCCTATTTTCTTTTATTTCTTTAAGAAATACATCCCATGATTTCCCAGCATTGTAATGACACTTCATAGGTACTGCTATCATGGCCCATGTTTTGACATTGTACAACATGCAACAAAAAGGGGACGCCAGGCATGGATTGAGTGATTTATGATTTATAGATTAGGTATTCATCAGTTAATGACTATAATTAGGCTTGGGAACTCTGTCACTAAGTCACATGATCATAAAACAAAACAAAGTCACATAACTTTGCAACTTAGTTATGTGTGCAATGATAGCTCTGGCACTCCTGGTTGCAGGTGTTAAATACATGAAACTATTACTTCTGGCCAGGTGAAGATTGCAGATTGCAATTACATGATTTCTGGGATGCTGCAGTAGTTGTAACCTACCATTTTCCAATTTTCCAATCATCATTATTTGATCATGGGGACACAGCAATGGCTACAATTTTGATTGACTGTAAGCTTCTGCATTCAGCACTATTATGACTGAATAGTCATTATAAATGAATAGCCACTAACAAGGACTGTCTTTATTTGAATATATTAAAGAATATTAATACTGGATGCATAGATAACTTCCCAGCAAATGATTATTCTTTGAAACTAGGGAACATACTTACACATAGATATATCAATTTATATCAATCATTAAATAAAAATCATTAAGCTGTATGAAGAGTTTGAGAGTAGCCAGCCCCTGACCCTTTGAGTGATCATTTTAGTCATACGTACTTACCAAATACTTCCATTAAAATAAAAATAATGCCTCATTCCAATCTATTTTTATGTTCTAGTTTGAGTTACTGCACAAATTAATCTTTCTGTCCATTTTTGGTACTATCTAATAGTTATCTGCATTTCTGCAAACCAGATTGCAGAATCAACAATCAACACAGATTTAGCAATTTACCTGATAAATGAATTGACATCTAGATCAATCTATAGTCATAAATAAGTACTGAATGAGTACCCCATTTCCCAGGAAATATTTACTCCTTCCTCCTTAACAGACCTTGCCTAAGTGTGGGCCAGTTCAAATTTTGCTGTTTGGGGATGTGGGAGTGGAAAAAAATTAATCAAAATAGTATGAATCAGGGGGAAAATAACCTAAAAGGGCAAGAAATATTTTTAGCATATTTATTCTGTACAACATCCAGAACATGCTTCCCTTTGGTTTAAAAAACCAAACTCTTGTTTTCTAGGATGGCTATCAGTCTTGCTATTAGCTAGTCATGCTTAGAAGACAATAACACAGATGCTGTTTAATACTGAAATTGCAGCAGTCCTTGTAGGCAACTCATTTGTGTAGTTGAAAAAAAAAGAAAGACAGAAGTACACACATTGGAAGAAATATGCATATCTTTCTACTGGAGAAAAAAAAAAGACATACATACATACATACATACATACATACATACATACATACATACATACATACAT